TAAGTTTCCTTGGTAAACTAACATATAGTAGTTAATAGTAATTTATATGTATCAAGTAATGAAAATCTTACCTTTTTTATTTTCATGTGAGATTACTACCAACTAAGATCCAATCTAACTGATAAGATGAACAAAGGAAAATGGATGCATACTTGAAGAAAACAAAAACCTAATATTGAAAAAAGAACTAGCTAATATCTATCTTTTCTTTGTTGATAAGCAATATAATTTAAATAATAGCAGCATTATAAGGTTATTCTAAATTATTTCAAAAAAGGTAAAGTCAACTTTTAAACTAGAAGAATCTAAAATGAGTGACGTAACAATATGTACTTACAATTCGGATTCAGCGAATGCTGTTCGCCTTAAACTTGTATTTGGTAATACCTGCAAATAATAATTGTATTGTGAAACAATAATGTAGTGTATAATGTTAATGGAAAGTGATTGACAAATGTGTAATTTTTAAAGATAAATGTAACATTATTACAAAACATGTGTATCACTTTAGAATCTAGAAATGTTTGAATGACTAATATGAACATTCATATGAATTTGTCATTGAACATTCTCTGCTTGGTGGTGGCTTTACCAACATAGTTTTGGTCTATCGGTTAGTTTGAAGCTATGTGATCTAAATAATCAGTGAAAGATTTACTTAGTTTAGTCGTAATTCATTTTAATAATAGAGTTCATTAATTTTTAAATAGAGACCAAATATAATAATGAGTCATATAAATAAATTATTATTATGTTTTTTCCTTAATATGTAAACTGCATGTAAGCCCACTGTACATTCAATGTTAAAATTTAAAATGAAATGCAATAGAAAGCAAACCAGCATGATGAAATAAGACATAGTCCCATACTCAAAAAAATGCAAACAATAATTTGCATAGCATGCATTTATCAAAACCTAGATAGAACTTACGGTTATTATTTACATCACCGCTGAAACAACTGTGACCTAGTCATCGAAAACCTTACAAGGGTACATTATTTCTCAGGACACGGGGTTTCGTATTGAGGAACCTTCAGGACGCAGTCAATAAAATGTAAAACACTCAGCTCATAGTCGAGTATTATTATCGTTTGCATCGAAACATTACGTATCGATGTCTAGACACTATGCGAATTTCAGTTTCTCAATTAATTTTAGCATAAATTTCTTAGAAATGACAGCAGAAAACCCCAGACATCAAAAACTCTGCTCCGAAATCTGACAGTTAAAATGACATGTGACATTAGATATCTTTCTGTTGGTAGTAGATTTTAAGAATGTTGCCAGAAAGTACCCGTATTAAAATAACTAAAAGCAAAAATTATTAAAAAAACTTCAAATAAAGCCGGGTCTCCAGCGCGTGTTTTACCCATGTTTTACCCTACACAAGTACAAAATCAACAAAAACATGTCAACATTATTGGCTTTGTGCACGATTACAGCGCCAACTAGCGTCCACAACTTTGTGGGCTCTGTCACACTGACATTTAGGTCGTATATTTGTGAAAAAATATCGAAATGAAAAAATTACAAAATTTTCGACTAATAAATTGGTGTGATAACCACGATTTGGGTGAAAAAAAGGTTTTGAAATCATTTTGGTCATTCAAATCAAATGAGGTAAGTCCAAAAAGTGTGTTTAATTTTGATTGTGTCAGGGTTTGTTTACTTCATATTTTATAGTTGTATAGATGACCCACGCTGAACTGTCCCGCCAAACTCAATGACAGGGGGGCGCTACCATCGTTCAACTATATGGTTTCCAACATGGCAAAAATCGGAACTAGCGATCCGGTATTGACGGTGGCGCCCCACTGTCAATGTCATGCATAGGACAGTTCAGTATTTATAGCCTGACCAGGAACATAAAAACCGTCGCCATGTTGCGGAAAACTAATGGTACTAATTTCTTTTAATGGCAACAGTAACTGAAAACTTCATTGACATGTCACCTTGCATGTCAGTCTATGGCTGTCAAAGTGTAAACAAACTTTATTTTAAATGTGCGCAATTGATTTTGTGAATGAAATTGCTAAAATCTTTTTATAGTCGTGAAAGAAAAGTGGTTCACAATGTGTTAAAGTATTTGTCGAAGAGAAATACTAAGGGTTCGGACAATATTTCCATCGAATAATGTTTCCGACAAAGGTTGTCAAATTGACTGACATGTTTATCGTATAGTACAGTCCACCATGAAAATTAGCTGTGGTTTGTGTCAAATACCTATTTTAAAGTTTTTTGTCACTTTCTAAGTGTTGAATTTAATAGAATTGGGAAAGAAGTACCGAGTTTGAAGCGTTCATGAGCAGACATTGCAGTTGAATATTCAAGTTCTGAATTTGATTATTGATGAATAATAAAATAAATCCTACTAGCTCGATTGATGGTTTCATTTAATTTATTTAAACCAGGTTACCTATAATAATATGTTTTCGTTAATTTATGAAAAAATCAAATTAGCCCGTAATCCTGAATCCTGATACATATAGTTAGCCTATTAATTTAACACAGGTACGACTGTACTCAGTGTTGCACTATCAAATGCAATTGAAGCGCCTCTATGCCAGGGTTTTTATGTTCCTGGTCAGGCTATACAGTGAAACAAAAATAAAAAGCTACTTTAACGGTTTCATTATACAGGGTGTTTGGCGCATCGTGTGCCAAAATGATTTGGCGGATAGAATGGGTCATTTCCTATATTTTCAGCCCACATAACACGTTCCATGCCAGGCGGCTACTTTTAAATTAATTTTTTTAGTAATTTCACCAAAATACCCAAATTGCATCATTTAATTTCGATTAAAAAAAAACTACTAGGCGTAGCCTCATAGTAAATATTTTATTTTGACGTGCATTGATGTAGGGTTACATCAAATCTAAATTTACTGGCAAATATCATCTAGTTTTTTTTTAATTCAGCTTTGAAGATTTCCGAAAAGTTAAAAGTGGACTGAACATTTAAGTTTACATGGCTATCAAAAAAATTTTAAAAGAGATAGCGATCTTCGGATATTATCAAAACTTCTCTAGTCTCTCCCCATTCAAACGGTATACTAATCTTGTTTAAATAATAACAACAACTTCACAAATTCCTTAAATTAGTGCATTGACTCTACTCGGACTGATTTGCGAAATTTGTGTTTATAGCCCCTTTTTGTGTGAATAGCACGTTAAACACCTACCAGGTAAAAATGATTTATCTTATGCAATGTAAAAACCTTTTCCCTATCGTTTTTCAATGTGGATTTCTTGAAATTATAGACGAAAATAATTATTTTGATCGTTTATTAATTATTACAAATTTTGTTCAAAATGTCCGCCTCGGCAACGTATAGATACACTCACGACATCTTCTTCTAATTTCGACTGTTGTCGTATGCAGCCACATTACTCTTTTTATTACTACAAAGGCGTTTTCTATTCGTTGTTGTAGTTCTTCTATTGTTTGAATCCGTTACGTACACCAGTTCTTTAGTTTGTCCCCAGACGTAAAAATCTAAGGGACTTAGGTCTGGGGAACGTGCAGGCCACTGTATAGGGCCATCTGTTCTAATCCACGAATAGAAAACGCCTTTGTAGTAATAAAAAGAGAAATGTGGTTGCATACGACAACAGTCGAAATTAGTATAGGTACGTTGCCGAGGCGGACGTTTTGAACAAAATTTGTAATAATTAATAAACGATCAAAATAATAATTTTCGACTTTAATTTCAAGAAATCCACATTGAAAAACGATAGGGAAAAGGTTTTCACATTGCATAAGATAAATCATTTTTACCTGTTAGGTGTTTAACGTGCTATTCACACAAAAAGGGGCTATAAACACAAATTTCGCAAATCAGTCCGAGTAGAGTCAATGCACTAATTTAAGGAATTTGTGAAGTTGCTGTAAACTTAAATGTTCAGTCCATTTTTAACTTTTCGGAAAACTTTAAAGCTGATTTAAAAAAAAACTAGATAATATTTGCCAGTAAATTTAGATTTGATGCAACCCTACATCAATGCACGTCAAAACAAAATACCTACTTTGAGGCTACGCCTAGTAGTTTTTTTTTAAATCGAAATTAAATGATGCGATTTGGGTATTTTGGTGAAATTATTAAAAAAATTAATATAAAAGTAGCCGCCTGGCATGGAACGTGTTATGGGGGCTGAAAATATAGGAAATGACCCATTCTATACGCCAAATAATTTTGGCACACGATGCGCCAAACACCCTGTATAACAGTAAATATATTTAAATGTTCCTGTATCGCTAGTAATAAATTAAATATCGTTTTCAGATCGAAATGAGTATTTTTTTTTAAGACCGGGTTTGTGAGTGTTACAATATCAAATTCCAACCACAAACCGTATTTAAAGGAAAGTTGTTGGTATTGGCTGGACAATTCCGAGATGTAGAAGAATTAAGAACAAAACAAGGGCAGAGTTCAATAATTCACCCTATCATCATAAGGCAAACATCTGTGCACAACAACTACTGTCTCATTTTTGTACTACCACGTTGTATAGTCTAGTTATTTCCAAATTGTAAACGGCTATTAAACCAGCCCTATCGAAATACAGTCCACTCTTTTATTTAAGTTCCCAGTAGGACCCTTTTCATGCGATTAATTATTGATATTAAAATGTATTAAGTAAAATAGCTTTGCCATTGACAGATACATCTGATGACAGAGCTTACATTATTTCTACTTTTGACCACCATGAGCGCTGCGATAGGTCCAGCGAATAATTGCCTACAAAAAATGTTGAATGTTGACATGTTGAGTAGGAAAAAAAGGAGACTGGACTCCAAAAAAGTAAAAAACACCCAAGCTATAAGTTGAATTAATTTTAATATAATGGTATATACCTAAGTAATAATGAGCTTGGGATGCGGGCAGCGCAGGACCGTTCATTGTGGAAATCTTTGGGGAAGGCCATTGTCCAGCGGGAGACGTCATTTGTCTGAAACGAACGAAGTAATAATGAAATAAAACTTGTAATTTTTGCTTCAATTATTTATTTTTATAGCATTTGTTAAGTATCGAGTTTGAATAATTTAATCAACCACATATGCATTCCATGTTTAACTGCCAAAGTTAATGTAAAACAACTCAAGATGATTCCCAATAATAACATAAACGCCAAACCAATAATACCTGTAAACAAAAATCATACTATAAATTGAATCGACTATTAAATATTATATTAGTAATTATTACAGTATAGTTATAGTTTTATCTCTAATAAAAGTATTTTATGAATAAAATGCCACAAAAATGGTAACATAAGGCTAACTTAATGCGATTGTGCATGCGTTATGCGCGGTTTTATAAAATAATAACACTTGACAAGATACTACTTGCTCGAGGTCATTGATAAATTGTGACTATAAAACCATCCTAGATATACATTAAATATACACACCTTCACATACAATGATAACAGCTAGAAGACAGGAAACTGCTGTATTAATTAGAATCGATGCAGATATTAATATTAGAATAAAAATAGCGCAGGTTGTCAGAAACAGCGTGGTAAAAACTGGATTTTCTAGTAGCGCAATGATTAACCATTCAAAAGTCTTCAAAAATGTTATAGTAACATTTTCAAGACTATTGTTACAATATTCTGAAAATATCATAAAATCATGTTTTTGAAATCAATGAATGAAATGTAAGACATATTAAAGTGGAAATCTTTCAAACTTACTCCAAGATATTTTAACAACAATAAAAAATGCATTATTTATATTAACTTCCATTGTTTGTAAGGCAAAACTATTAACACAAATAAAACTTTTAGCACTATAAAGTCTTTAACATTTAATTAAGAAGGTAGAATCAAAACAAAACTTTTTGACATCATTTTGTGTCAGTTGTGTTGTATAGATGACCCACGCTGAACTGTCCCGCCAAACTCAATGACAGGGGGGCGCTACCGTCGATCAACTATATGGTTTCCAACATGGCAAAAATCTGAACCAGCGATCCGGTATTGACGGTGGCGCCCCACTGTCAATGTCATCGACAGGACAGTCCAGTATTTTGGAACTATAAGTTGAGAACACAGTGGGTCTAGACAAAGTGCAAATTACAATCGCAAATCAGTCGAAAAGTGGTCGAAAAGCCCCTTTTTTGTATGGAGTTTTGACGGATTCGATTTTCGATTCGATCAAAAAGTGCGTTTTGTCTAAGGGGGCAGATATGGATTAGAGGTTGAGAACATAGTTAGATTCTCTAAGGTTGAGAATGTGAAAACAAGTTTAAAGTAAATTATAGTTGCCCACCGTTTACAATTTAACCAATAAGCCAGAAAATTGAAAAAAAAAAAAAAAAAAAGTTTCTGAACGTAAATGTCAAACTATCTGTCACATTGATTGACACATTCGCGCCAAATTTTAATACCAAAACAGCAAGCGAAATATTATTTTTATTTTGAGAAACTTTGTCATTTCGTTTATTATTATTGATTATTTGCTCATTTGTTTACCTTTTAACAATGGTTCGTAAGCTTAGATATCCAGATTTACTTATTTTAAACTTCTGTTTTATGTTAATTAATATTGGTTACCTTTATTGCAGGTGGGCCAGTACGACGAAAACTTGTTATCTGATATGCTACCCATATATTACACTAAATTCTTTCCTCAAAACGTGTTTTGTAGGTGGCTTTCTTGCGGAAGCTATCCGCAGCCACTCTCTAACAGAGAGCTATCATTTACTTTAGCAGACGACGTTTATTTGCGCTACTTATCAATCAGTAACCAGAAAGAACTGCAGACCTTATTTCAGAAAAAATGTCCATATAAATTAGATATAGGAGCTGTTTACAATACAAAGTGGGTAACTTATTAATTGCTATTCTTTAATGCAATATAACCTAAACATTTTTTTCAAAAACACTTGCATTTTGTACCATGATTTCAGGCCATCTATTGCAAGACATGACTCTGTTGTTTTGGCAAGAGAACTTGTATTTGATATAGATCTTACGGATTATGATGAAGTCAGAACGTGTTGTCAGGAAGCCAGAGTATGTGAAAAGTGTTGGAAGTTTATGGTTGTTGCCTGTGAAATTTTAGACAAAGCCTTGAGAGGTAAGTGTATAGTCTTAAGTTTGATATGATTCATATCTGAATTCATTCTTACACTCAGCTATTTTTTGTACTTTTAAAGCGTTTCTGTAATGTATCTTATTTATGTGATGGTTCTCATGTTGTAGATGACTTCGGCTTTCAATCAATCCTATGGGTATTCTCAGGCAGACGAGGTATCCATTGTTGGGTGTCTGACCATGAGGCTCGGACCCTGGACAGTCCAGGCAGAGGAGCCGTTGCAGACTATCTTTGCTTGATAATGGGTGGTGAAAATCAAAGCAAGAAAGTTAATTTAGGATCTGATAATTTACATTCTAGCATTAGGTAATATTTGAAGTTTTCTGATATGAGTATAATATTTAAAATAATAATTAGACAGCTATAGTAGAATCCCGATTATCCGGATCAATTAAAACCAGGGGTGTTCTGGATAATCGATTTCAAAGTAAAATCAAACAATAATTAACTTTTTACAATAGAAAGGGTTTTCAATACATCATTTATACTCTAAAAATCTAAATTTTAGACCATTGGATGGATCCATTTCTTTTAACAATGAACTAAGACGAAGTCAGTCCCGTATTACGGTGGCGGCGCCTTCCGTTTTTATGGGTCCAGACCCTAAATTGGTAATTAGAAACAGTGAAGAATGAGGACTCATTCTTCATTATCCGGACGGATAATCGGATATCCGGATAATCGGAGTCCGAATAATCGAGATTCTACTGTAGTTATATTTAATTTATTGATTTTGTATTTATTTCTTTTAGGCGAGCTCTGACTATCATAAACAAATACTTTGAAGAAATCCTTCAAGATCAAGAATTTTTTGCAACTCCAGGTGGTTTGAAAGGTCTACTAAAATTAATTCCAGATGAGTCTTTAAGGACACAAGTAGAAAAGAAACTGGAAAAACTACCAAACTCATCTTTAGAAAGATGGAATCATTTTGTCAGTATTTATGAAGGATACTGCAGAGAGGTACTACACAAACACTTAAGTTTATTAAATTTCAAGATTGTATAAGTCTTTTGGAATTTTTGGTTATGTCAATGTTGGAATTAATATAAAAAGTCACTATTGTAAGAAATATAGAATTATGACAATAGTATGAAGAGGCATGGTATGGGATCAGCCTTTAACTTTGCAAAAACAGAGCTGACCAATATGAAAAAGACCCTCTACATTAATATTTTTATTTTATTTTCAGAATGGCTTTGCAATGAGGAAATTGAAATATTTGGTTGAAGAAATTAAAATCCAGTACTGTTATCCTAGATTGGATGTAAATGTAACAAAAGGCTTTAACCATTTACTGAAATCACCCTTCAGTATACATCCTAAAACTGGAAAAGTTTCAATAGTCTTCAAACCTAACAATGCAAGAAAAATGAATTTGGATGAAGTACCAACTATTCATTCACTGCTAGATGATAGTACTGAAGAAAGTGCTACACATCAAAATAATATGAAAGCCTCAGTAAAGAATTTCCAGGAAGTTGTGTTTTCCCTTGAGAAATCTGAAGCTATGAGAAGGAAAATTGATGCAAGTAAGCAATGCTTTTTATCAATATTGTATTGTATTTACTTTTTAAACAGCAAAAAAAAACATCTATGTATAATGTAGGTAGTTTTATGTTATATTGTTTTTAAAGCACTGTCAAATGAATTATTATTTTTATCCCAAAGGTTATCTGGCAGATAATGCCCTATGGTATTAAGTTCCCCTTATACGAATTTATATGGCACTAGAGAGCACATTACATACATAAACATAATTACTTTTATTATTTGTTGCAGATATTTCGCTGGATTTTTGATTAATTCATAAAATACTAATATGTTGGCGATATTTGTAATAACTATATAAATAAAACCACATAAAATATTTTAATAAGCATATTTTATTTATCTATTATGATTGTATAAAAAATAGTGTTGTTTACTTATAAAATTACACAACACCTGTCTGAATAACTTGGCTTAGATTAGCCTGTGTACCTAATCAACACAGAATGGTAACAATAAATAGGCAAATGATAGAACTGAATTACATTAACAGGTACTCATGAAACTTGTAGGCCTTACCTCTTTGTAGGTATTTTGTGATACATTTGAAGATCATCAGTGGGTGTTGGACATGGCTGAGATTTCTCCACAAAAAATGGGCATTATATTGCATTAGTGTCATAAAAGCATTGCAGGAATGTGACTCCATCTTATATATTTAATTATATTTTCTTTCAGATAGAGCAACTTAGAGCTACGTTTAAAAAATCTTCGAAGCCAATAGTCACGGTTCCGTTTTTTTGGGTATCGCGCACTCTAAATGCTTCAGTGAAACGTTGTATTTGCACACATAACACTATGAAATGGTCCACTGATATCTTTCCTTCTTTAGATCTCTTAGATAAAAACCCGATAAATTCTGGTGTGAACCGAAAACCCATTTGGGTCAAAGCTGAAACAAGGAAAAAAGTAGGTAGTTAATAATTACTAGACACGCCAGTGTCGTAGACACAGAATGCTTTCTTTACCGTAGATAGATTCACTTTTAATATAGGTACTTAAGTATGTGATGACTACCGAAGTTATTTGATACTACTTTACTTCATGGATTAAATGTAAAAAGAGAATGGACACTCGCTCATTAGGACACGAATAACTAAATGCATGGGAAGATAATTACTGATTTTGAAAGGGTATCTTAGTTACTTGAGCAATGGGCTTATTTATAAAAATAAGTGTATTAGCGCATTTAGTACACAATTTAACTTTTACTTTGCATTCTTATAAACGTCTTTAAAACCTACCCTTAGAGAGTTCTTGTTCATCGATTTGTCCAGATTGATCAGTGTCATATGTTTTGAAAACCGCCAGCCACTGGTTGATGTAGGTGTACAACTTGTCAAACTCTTCAACGTTGATATGGCCGGAACGATCCTTATCGAACATTCCTGTGAAATAAAACAATAAGACAAGTAAGTAGGTAGGGTAAACCGTATAGCTATTGCCCACTTAAAGATTTCAAACACATTGAGATGAAAAATTAAATAAAGTATTTTAATTATCGACCATTTATGACTTTTTTCTTATAACTTAATAAACTGTTAAACAGAATATTAACAGTTTTTAGTTAAAACTTACGTAACTTAGAAAATATTGAAATAAATTTAAAATCCTCCAAAAAGTACAGTCATTGCCCATTACTTACACTAATTGCCCACATCAAAGCACAGTAATTGCCCAGTATCTTAAAACAAAATAATCAATTTTAAAATGACAAAATAGGCTTTAAATAAACAAAACAAAACATTTAACTTAAATTCTAGTAGTGCAGTCTTCAAAATNCCATACTGAAAATGAAACATTAAACGCTATTTCAATATTTATGCCTGTAAATTGCAAAACAAGTCGAGCAATGAGCAACATAAACACTGCTACTGCATGGTGGCAACACTCTAATAATAATTGCCCTGGGCAATAACTATACATTAACATATGGCAATAACTGAAATGATGGTGGGCAATAACTAAAAATATACAGATTTACGTGCAGTGATTACCCACCGTTAAAATAACCGTTAGAAATCAAATTTTATCAGTTATTTTCATTGATAATGGAGAAAACACTTATAATTTCATCATGACTATACACCATTAGTTGAATATTAAACAACTTGCAAAAAAAATTTAACCTCTAAGCAAGTAATTCCTTAGTAAAATTGTTAAAATCTTTACCTGTTTGAGTAACATTTTCACCCGTCTTGACAAAATCCGCCATATATGTTTTTTTTTAGTGTTTCCTATTGTAAATTTTAAATCTACTGTACATTGATCTCGGAGCCATCTACTTAGTAAATTCAAATCTAACTAGAGTGATTCAAAGTCAGCACCTGACAATATTATTCATAAAGCGGGCAATCACTACCAGTGGGCAATCACTCTCTGGTTTACCCTACCTAGTAGGTGATAGAATTACATAAATGTTCCACGAAACGGTAGGTTAGGTATTTGTCTTCATTCTAACGCTCAATCAAATTCAAGAATAATTAAATGTTGTGGTTGATAAAAATATTAAATTTTGCGCTAATGCCATTCTTCCGATATTTTGCAGCCTGTAATGTCCTTACCAATCATCAAGTTGCACGCCGTTTCTGAAAATGTCTGGCCTTGTGCATTTACAAGCGCAGCTTTTAGTTCGGGAGCCGTGATAAATCCAGATCGGTCTTTATCTACAGCTTGGAACCATTGCTGTACTTGTGGGGAGATGGTTCCTCCCGCCCCAATTGATGGATATGGACCGTGGCCCATTTCGAGTCCACCGCCTTGTGGTTGTCCTCCGTAACCCAGTTGTCCAGGCTGCCCGTAACCCTGTTGTCCGGGTTGCCCGTAACCCTGTTGTCCGGGTTGCCCGTAACCCTGTTGTCCAGGTTGTCCATAGCCAGGTTGGCCCGGTTGTCCGTAACCCGTTTGACCTGGCTGAAATTTAAAAAAAAAAAACTAAATTAGTACCTTGCTCGAGAATGGTTTAGTTAAACCAAACTGTAGGTAAGTATAGCTCTTGTATCTGTTTCATAGTTGGACTAAGGTTTTTCGTTTTCTATTGCGTCGAAAACATTGGGCCTTCAAGCAGGTAGCCTATAATATGCCTTAACGAATTAGACACATAGCATACACCTTCCGCTACAATCCAATTATGTACCTAGCACCACAATATTCAAAATTAAAAATCAACTGTAATATGATTTCAAAGTTAGGGCAAGGCACGGGGCACCTTACACATTGCGCTCACTAGTTGGCGCCACTAGAGATACCTATTAAAGTTGTGACACCAACTGGTGTGCACAAATCGCACAAATAAATACAGTAAGTATAATAATAGAGACCATTGGATCTAAAGGGATATTTTTAAAATTATTAAGAATATTAGAATTGAATAAATAATAAACAATACTTTTATAGATAAGTTTATTCTATGAAGTATAAATTAATTATCTTATCAATAAAATATTTACATACACTTTCATGTTTATAAACAATATAAAATCGCAAGTTTTAGTATCAATATTCTCGCAAAAATGCTTACTACTTATTGTAAGTATTTTAAAATTACAAGACACATCGGATTATTTTAAATATATCTTTAAAAACTGGCGTTAGTATCATAGCACTATTTACTTAATTCTTTTTCTTTTAAACAAACCAAAATATAATTGACAGCTATCTATTAACAAATGAACATGCCAATTAAGCAACTTATTCACATTTTCTTTGGATGCAAACAAAAGAATAAAATCTTGGTTTTGAAAGAAAAGTTTGATAAGGTCAGATAATAAAACGCAGGTAAAATTGGTGGGCACTAACAAGTAATGTCTGTAAGTTATTAAATACATAGGTACCTAATTATTATCATTTCTCTTTTGTGCCCATTAAAATCTAATCTCACTCCATTCATTCAAAGTTCAATAGTAGCTACCATTATCATAAAGAATATGAGAGAAAACACCACATATTAAACAATAATTATTTGAATAATTACAATAGGTAGGTCGGCAATAGAGCAGGCAACAAATCATACATTGCATAAAATGAATTTTCAACATACATCTTAGGTAGTTACTAGTTACCTACATAATGCGTTTTACTATTACAATGATTTTTTTTAAATACAGCATTTAAAAAAGACAAGTGAACTGAAAAATGTATCTGCATTTCTTATTCTTTATTCTCAACATAACAGACTATGTTCCTATCATAGGTAATCTTTGTTTTTGCACACATTTTTTCCTATCCCGTAAATCATTACCGAGGATTTTAAACATGTGGTGGCATTGTGTGGTGGTAATAAAATAATTTCTCAACAGCGCAAAAGTAATTTTAAAGCTTAAGTGTAATAATTTTAGTTGCACTACCGGCTGATATTTTAAAATTGAACTAATTATAATTACAGCGTGTAAAGCGAAAACATAAAATCTATTCATAGAGTAAATAATATACAGGTAACAGTAATAATAGCTGCAACATCGTTATTCTAACAATAAATCTTTCTGTATACATAAGTTAAAGGACAGATAGAATTGGGTAATTATAGATAAATTTATATTGAAAAATAAAAAACGTTTCCAGCTGATGATTGTAATCATCGCCTGGCAGCAGTGAACTCAATTGACGCGTCACTGAGGAAAAATCAATTTAGGCCATACCCAACTGAATCTTGATTCGTCCATCACCCAGTTATAGAACGAAGCACATTGCATATAAGGTACAATTTTGTATGATTTGATGTTTCCGGTAGGGGGAGCCTGGCAGGAATATTAAGTGCTTATACAGGGAGGGTAAGATGGATGAGGTAGTAAGTTGCAGTTACATGCAAATATCTTTCAAAATAAGCATGCTCCTCTCAAGTTTCCATCCGTTTATCTGGGTACAAGATTCGACAAGGATATTGTGGAAAACCGTCAATTTTAACGTCAGATACTGAGCAATGAATATATTAAATAGAAAATTACTTGTTTCATGTTTACCCAATTCTAGTCGGTTTACAAGTAGGTAAACTAACTATTATTCTTACATTATCTACTGTCATACACCATCATACCTACTATGCATAATTAAATTCATGTCTGACCTAGTTTTAATAGTCGCTTAATGTTAATTTGAGGAAATTATTAACTTACTAAATTACAATATAAATAATAAGTCGGCAAGTCCAGAAACTTTTTCTTTTCAGTAGTAGATAAGCAACATAATTTGGTAATGAATGTTGTACTGAAAATTGAAATGCAAAATATCTACTAAGGGGCAGTTGAATTATGTTATGGCTATTTACATTACAAGACACGTGATTTTTTAATTTTTAAATGTCAGTAGGTAATTATAATAATCTTCATCAAAACAATGGAAAGGGTTTAATATTATTTAAAGTTAATCGTTAATAATATATAATAATACTCAGCAGAAGGTCGATAACTCAGATCATAGAAGGGAATAGATGTGAAATGGGGGCGTGTCTCGTGTCTCCGCGATATGCCCAGAAACGAACATCGGCCGCGTAGCTAGGTTAGTCGCGATTCAGTCGTACTAAGGAAATGTTCTCCGATATTTTGGATAATGCGTCGTTACGTGCAATAAAACAAGTGAAACGAAGAACTACAGGAACAATGGAGTCATTTACTACATGTAAGTATTGCAAATCCATTGGTATTTTGCTTATAAATAAAAAAAACTAAACATTTTTACGAACGAATTCAGTGCCGTAACAGTTACTGCGATATCGAAATCAGTGGTGATAAAAATTCTAACACACTTGTACATTGACGATTTAGTTAGCAACCACTTTATGTCATGCTCAACTACTGCGCAATGTATTTAATTTCTTCCGATATCCACTGTCGTGTGAAAATACACAGTACGGCCGCATGTGCCGGTCGTAACATAGTGCCGTGCTCGTGTTCTAATGCGGTTTCCTATTATCGATAAATAGAAGTAAATTATAATTTTCTATTTTGTAATTTTAAATAAAAAAATGATGTGTTACTTGCGATTATAAGATTTTACAAAAAAAATAATAACATTAGAAGTAATTAGTAACTGTCAACTATGTAATTACTATAAGAGCTAGTTGAAAGCCTAATATAGGCATTATTTTTGATAAACATATGCGGTACGCAGATCGCCATAATTAAAAAGTAAATGCGTGATAGTAGTTAATAATAACGTATAATAATAAAAAGGTTTTCATACATGAGCATTTTGTGAAACCAGTTTCGAGCCTTGCCCCTAGCGATATAAAGTATCGATATCTTGTCGACTCCATTTTATCTTTGTTCTCTCACTAGCGTTTTCAAAGTGTGCGTCACGTCACGCGGCCATTGATTGGCCATAAGGCACGCCTTCTGGCCAATCACAACACTTTTAAGCCGGTTGCACATGTTGTCGTAGACTCTCAGTCGCTTTATTTTTACACAGTTGAATGTGTGTGTGGGAGCTGTGGTGGGGGAAATGTGGGGACACTGGTTCTCGTTGTAGTTACGCGCGAGTTCATATCTATTCTCTTTCTATGATCTGAGGTCGATAATAATAAGAATGCTTTACAATATTTTCCAATTAGTGCCCTAAAACCGATCAAGTGCGACTCGCGTTAAATCATATTAAGCGATTTTCTGGTTGGTTACTTTTTACATAATATTATTGTATTTCATGTTATAGCTGCCCGAATCAATTATACAGTCATTAAAATTAATTCTGATTGGAAACAATCAGTGCGCTCATATTACAGACGTCGGCACATCAAATTAAACGCTGTATGTAAAGACAATAGGTGTTATTTTTCAACAAAAATGTGAGTCTTGCTTGATGTGCTGTTGACTGTAATATAAAGGTTAATCCAGACAACTGTTTTTTTATATTAATAGGTTTGAGGCATGGTTTTTGATCATAATAGTTTAAGCTTTAAAATAATTTCAATTAGGTACAATAATATTAGTAAACTCATATTTTTTTGACTATTTTAAATGCATTTTATAAAGATTTCTTACTTTTCGTCAGCCTAAGATGGCTTAGATTTTATGACACAATAACACATTATATCATGGGATATTATTTATGAAAATAATAATATTGAAATATAACATTGTCAATAACATTCTCAGAATAATGAGTTTAATGGAAATAACTTAAAACCCTACATGTAATACCTATGTACATTTTTATTTATTTCCTATTACATAGGTGTTGCTGCTATAATATTAGAAAACAACAATTACTTAAATGACATTCAGTCTTTTACATAAAAACCAATACTGGCAAGTTTGTTACATTTTGTACTAGACTAAGCAAAAAAGGAGCTACACACATAGGAGACAGTACAGTCACTTGATTTTGAGTGTATGTGTTGTGTATACTACAGTCAGCCTTATCATGGTGCCCTAGAGTATTGTAATTATACTTACCTAGAGCACAAGGGGTGTTGATTTAATTGTAGATACATTAATAATATTCTCAGACATCATACACAATGCTGTATGGTCCCAAGCTGAGCAAAGCTATATGACACCAGACAACAATTTAAGCATGAAACCTTTTTAAATACATTTGTACCTAAAATAATCCATCTAACCTACTACTACTAGTAAATATGGGTATTTCATACATAGATCACAATAAAATTGAATCACTATAAAATTAGGCCTGTGTAAAAACAAGTGACTACAATGTCTCATTAACTGTGGCCATTAACAATGCTTTTTCACTAAGTACAGGATACATATTATATCTAGGTAAAGTACACATACACAAATACATACAAGTAGGATAAGTTAACACAACTATTTTAGTTATAATTTTAACTCCTTGGTTAATCCTAAAACTTACAGAACTCTCAAAACATTATAATACAAGGTGTTCTTGTTTTACAAATAAATATAAGATCGATATTTGACTGTAAAGGTTTGTCAGATTAGATAATTAAATAAAACAATCAAATATCTCCACTTCTCATTCCATAAATATCATCTACTCAAGTGTGTATAAATATTGGTATTTTTGATCATTTCTTCAAAAGTAAATAGTGAAAATGCAATGTTCAATTACTAAACAACTAGTACCTACTTAAAGAAAAAATATATTTATAAACTAAATGTTATCACTGTGACTAGAAAAACTGTAAGTAGCTGGAGTAACAGATGTGTTTACACACACTTGAATAGATGGTTTGAATGATGATGGAAGAAGTTTATGTGCTTCTGGCACTGGAGAATAACTGTGACAGACTGCTGTTTCAAAATGAACTTGGTCATTTCTGTCAGCAGGCACACCATCAAAGCTGGTTTGTTTGGCTGAATCACCAGTCCCACTGTCTTTACAAGATGAATGTTCTGACACATTGTCTGGGAATATCGCTGGAGAATCACTATCACTATGCACTATTTGTGTCATTTTCATACTTTCGGTGGGGTAATTAGGCACAGCTCGAGCCATACGCCTTCGAGTGTGGTATATTATCACTACCCATATAATAGAAGTTCCAACAGCACAGCACACTACTGTTATTATAATTATCCCTGTCATATCTTCCTCGTTCACCATAATGGCTACTGGTGGTAACACCCTTAACTCAGTCATATCTTTTTTAGTTCCCAGTTCATTAGTAATCTCACATTCATATCTTCCTGCATCTCCAGATTCAGCACCAATGATTATCAACAGTTGGTCCTCAGCTGTCAAGTAATGTCTTTCAGTGTGAACAATTGGTGTACCATCTTTTAGCCATTTTATCACTGGTTTTGGTGACCCTGATATCATACATTGTAACACCACTGAGTCTCCACTGGTCACTTCTTTGTTCTCCATAACTCTTACAAAAGATGGTTCTTGCAAGACTGATAATGTTGCATTGGCTATAATAGTTCCAGCAGGATTCTTGGCTGCACAGCTGTATATACCCATATCAGTTGTTTTTGCATTTACAATGAAGAATAGATGGTCGGTGGGCATGACATTCATTCGCCTTTCTCTAGCTGCAGGAAAATCATTACCACCATCTTTTTTCCAAGAGATTTCTGGAGGTGGGTCACCAGTAGCAGCACAGTTCAGTGTTACTGTTTCTCCTGTCTTAACAGTTACATTTGTTGGTGTTTTTATGAACTTCGGAAATGTAACGATGTTGATTTTAGCTTTGGAAGAATATGTAGTGCCAAAGTTATTACTGACAATGCATTGGTATTTACCAGAATCAGCGTGAGTCACATTTGGTATTACCAAAACAGATGTTGCTCTTGATTTGCCAGTGACTGATAAAGTAATATTTTCATATACAGTGGGATTACTTAAGTTTTCATTATTTTTTCTCCACAAAAATGTCATATTACTGAATGGGCTGGAAGTAGCTGAGCATACCAGGTTGGCTGGTCTTCCTTTTATAGCGAGATGAGCTTTAGGATGTTCTACAACTTTAGGTTTAGGTGAATCTCCACAATTTTCTTCTTTTAGTTTAGATATAGTCTGACCACTGACCTCAGCTGGATAAGCACAGGTAGCAGTTATGTATTTCTGATCTACTTTTTCTCTCATCCATTTAACAATCCACAAAATATTACAATCACAGAGCAATGAAGAAGAGTTCAAATGCAATTTCTTTAGTTTCATCATTGAATCAAATGCATGTTGCTGGATTGAAGTTATGTTGTTACCAGTTAAATCCAGTTCTCCAAGATTAGATAATCCTTCAAAGGCTCTAGAATTTATTGATTTAATGTGATTAGCAGCCAGACTAAAAGTCACTAAATTCTGCAATTTAGAGAAAGGTCCTGACATATCTTCAACTGTCCAAGAGATTTTATTATTATTCAAGTGCAGAGTTCTTAGTTTGATCATGTGACTAAAAGCTTCTTGTGAGATGGAAGATATATTGTTATAGCTCAGGTTGAGAGTTTCCAAGTTTTTCAAATGTTGAAATGTTCGGCCTTCTATTTCAACTAAGTAGTTATTGGACAAGTCCAGCATTTTCAAATTTGCACATAGTTCCCAGCTTCCAGGGTCTACTTCTCTTATCAAATTATTGGACATAGATAATGTAGCTAATGACTCAAGTCCATACATCCAGCCCTTAGATATACTCCTTATTTTATTATGATCTAATTGTAATAAATTCACAGATCTGAATCCAAAAAAGGCACCATCCATTATATTGTCAATATTGTTATATTTTAGTTTTAAAACGGTCAAATTGGATAATCCTTGAAAAAGCAGCCCATTGATTACATGTAGTTTATTATGATTGAGTTCCAAAGTCCTTAGGTTGGACTGATATTTAAATAAATCATTTGGAAGTGATGTGATTTCATTTCTGTTTAATTTTAATATCATCATGTTAGTTAGATTGTTTAAAGCTCCTTCTTCAATCAATTTAATATTATTACTATTCAAATTCAGTATCCTGATGGAACTATTAGCAGGAAAATGTCCTGCATCTATGGAACCAATCATATTTCGGTTTAGACTAACTTCTTGAATTTCTTCATGTTTCAAAATATCTGGAATATGGTGAAGCAAGTTCTTGTCTAATTTTAGTACTTTCAAGCTCATTAAATTATCCAAACTTCCAGTTACATTTCCACTCAATCGATTGTAACTGAGATCCAATTGTTCCACCCACTGAGGAATTTTTGGCACAGATACGAGATTCTTGCGTGAACAATCCACATATTGCTTCAAACAATCACATTTTAGTGGACAGTCATTGCTCTCATTTTCTACTGAAGCTCGTATTAGGAGTAAAATTGTTATAAACAACAACAAATAGGAGTCTCCCATTTTCATTCATTTGTGCAGGTGCCAAAATCATCCACGAAGGGAACGAAGATTTGAGTCTTTGTTCTTACATAATTTCAAATGTAAACATAACACTCTTGTATAGTTCTCACAATATTTCACTTCACTTATTCGCACGTTATAGAAAAATTGCATTTTATGGGTGCCAGTAAACACAATTTCGAAAAACAACTAAACATATTTACGGCGATAGCTTCGGTCGCCATTTTCTTTTATAAAGGCGTAGTGATGTAATCCCACATTTCGAAGCAACCGGTAAATACCGGTAGTATGTGGTATAAAACGAATCGATTTTATTCGATTCAACATTATAAAAAAAACAGTTAATTATAAAAAAGGAAAAAAAAAAATTAGTAATTTCGGTTTCGGTCAAATATTAATTTGTTCGTAGCAAAAGCCTCAAAGAAAGGCTGGGGCTATGGTCATAATGCCATAAACTTGGCTTTGAGTGATGGAAAAGTGTTTCACTTTGGTCATGACCATATTTACTAACCATTTTAACTTGTATTGTTTAAAAAAATCTGGTATTTATTGGTCGCGTCGCAACACATTGTGTTACAAGTGTCAGACAGGTCACAGAACTCGCGCATTTTGCTGACCAAATGAAGACGCAAATCCAACAAGCTCTAGTATTAAGGATAAGGGCCATTTGGACAACACATAGAAGATTCTATACTAGAAAAATAATGATTGGTAATTAGTGTAGTATGTACCCATTATTTTTCATATATTTTAACCATAGTATAACAGATTAAATAATAAATATCAAGTGGACCTTTGTCTGGTTGATCAGCAAAGGGTCTACCTTTAAGAAAAAAAAAAACATGTTCCGATGAGGGATCACCGGACCACACAGTGACTTTAATTTGGTTTCATGAATGAAATTGAGAATTAATATTCATAGAAAAATAATAACAAATTGTGCTCAATACTAAGTAAACAGAATACAGAGTGAGCAATTCAATCATCATTAACATTTTATTTCTTACATTCATTATCAACATTATTTAGTACCTGGTGCCCTCCCCAAGGACTCAAGGCAAATGAAAGGGTCATAAAACAAATAAGAAAGGAGTAAAGTCTCTTTTACATTGTATTCTTTCCAATCAAAATATAATTTATCTCTCTTACCTCAGACACCTCCGTTAGTTGTATGTAGGAGAAGGTAATTTTCTTTCTAGAACCTACACACCAATATCAAACTACAGTGCAGTCTTATTAGAATTAAGAAATTAAAAACTTTCAATAAGTACCTACAAGTTTAGTGATCTATATTATAATTTTATTAATTAAAGTACTTTTACTTACGTTGTATGCCATTCTTGTTATTGGGCTCTATGAGTTGATAGCTTGAACACAGTGGTTAATCAAAACAATTCTTTGCTATTACTGCTAGTAATTTTCAAATTTATTGGAAGGTGAACCAAAATTTTTGAGACTTGAGACAAATTCTATTGACAAAATTTTTGACAACACTGACAGACAAACAGCTGTGAGTGACGTTGTTTGATTGTCCTTCTATTTTAACTTTTGTTCACTAAAATCATAAAAAAACAGATGGGTTATTGGCTATCTTTCGGCACATTTTTTATTTGCAACTTTCACTTTACACCCCAATTTATTTATTTGGCACGTTACTCTGCATCATCGTTGCATCCACAGATGTTGCATCACATATATTTATATTATCTTTGGCGTGGTTGTCAACGTCAACGTCACATAATGTCACGTCACTCATTGATAAAAAGAATTAAAATAGGTATTTCTTCTCCTCCTACAAAATATTGAAACAGTTGGAGTTCAGTAATTTTTTATGCCATTAATACTCTAAATCAAAAGCTCATTAACATGGAGTCGTATGAAAGTGTATTACTGGTAAAAAATGAAGTGTTTGTATTTAAAATACCCCCGAAAACTACCAATAGAGGGTATAGGTAAGTTTTTATTTGTCTCAACTCTCACTGTTTTATTGTTTGAGGTAGGTATGCTAAAAGTAGGCGTTTTTCAGGGCAGCTGATTGGAATCTGCAGGAGCCTCAATGGACAGGTCGTATGCGACTGGTCGCAAAAGGCGAGGAGCTGATAATGAAATTGGAGGATAAAGCATCTGGGGAGTTATTCGCGAAATGCCCCATTGATAAATATCCTGGAGTGGCCCTGGAATCTGTTACCGACAGTTCACGTTACTTTGTCGTGAGGATTCAAGATGATAATGGTAAGATAAAATATTGTAACCAACCAGTAATATTTCTGTTATTAAGATAAACTTGGTAGAACTGATTTGAAGTTAACCACACTAAGTTGACTACTACTCAAGGACAATTTTCTTTCAGGGAGGACTGCATACATTGGTCTAGGATTTGGTGACCGTTCAGACTCTTTTGATCTCAATGTAGCTTTACAAGACCACTTCAAGTGGCTGAGGAAGGAGCAGGAAGGGGAGCAGGCTCCTCAGCAGAATCTGGACCTCGGGTTTAAGGATGGAGAGACTATAAAGATCAATATGAAGATTACAGTAAGTGTATTTTTCATAGTTCAAACATATCTACTTGTAGATTTATCATTGATTTCAGTACTTATAAGTTTCAAGTAATTTCAGTTAAAAAAAAAGAAAGTTAATAAAGTAATATGCACCTTGCTTAGGGGTCATCCATAAAGTACGTCACACGTAAAGAGGGGGGGAGGGGGTTGACAAAGTGTGACATAGTGTGACAAGGGGTGGGAGGGGTCCTAAGTTTCGTGACGTCACATTTCAAATATTTGATATAATGTTGATTTCATAAAAAAAGTACTTAATTTAAATGGAATTAAAAGTAATTTCGGAACTGCTGTTAATTTAATAATTTTTCGATGTGAANCGTCACATTTCAAATATTTGATATAATGTTGATTTCATAAAAAAAGTACTTAATTTAAATGGAATTAAAAGTAATTTCGGAACTGCTGTTAATTTAATAATTTTTCGATGTGAAATTGCAAAACATGTGACGTCACACTAGGGAGGGGGGGGTCTCAGAAATGTGACCACCTGTGACAAGGACGGAGGGGGGGTCAAAAAATCATGAAATTTGTGTGACGTACTTTATGGATGGCCCCTAACCACTCAAAAAATAGAAACTTTTTTTCTAATTTATTATAAAAACAAATCTAATTTATTGTTGTCATCAAAAATACAAAAACCTTTTTCTTAATACTTGTAGAAGAAAGACGGCAGTGAAGGAAGTAAGCCCAGGCGTGGTGTTGGGTCGGGCCTGGGTGGAGGCCTGCTGCCCCCGCCGCCCGGGGGGTCGGGGTCGCGTCTGCCGCCTCCACCCTCACCGCAGCATGCCCCGTCACCATCATCTGCCGTGGCCGCTGCACCAGTAAACTCTGACTGGGGTGAATTCAACTCGGCTAGGTAATCTTTCTTGTTTTCAATCAAATATAAACATATCTCACTCTCTCCGACTTTGTTTATATCTATAACTTTGTTCATTAGGCCTAAGATGCGCGCCGTGATAACTTTTATCGACGTCAAAATGTATGGGGAAAATCGATAAAATGGCGTGATAACCGCTTACTACTTTAAAGCCTGGTCCGTGAGCGATAAGGATGCGTAGCTTGGGGTCATTGGACAAAATTCTATGTGTTCACGGACCAGGCTTTAGAATATTTTGTAAATCCATTATTTTACTTGTTTCTATAAGACTTAAGTGTGTAATGTTTTTGTAATTTACAGTGCCCCAAGCCAAAAGCCGACTACACCTGCCAATCAACAGAACTGGGTGCAGTTTTGAAGATAGAAAATGGGTTTGCAAGTATTCTGTTGTCTTGTGTGATTTGATGCACAATACTTACATAAATACTTAATATTAGGAGTAGCATATCAGTTGATTGCATAACGACTGAGTACATTCCTGCGACAATCAATGGATAGCAGCTGGTATAGCATATTCATTCATATTCTTTTGCTTTTATTCATTTATTAGCAAACTGAATTTCTGCATGTATAATAAGAATCTTATGTTTAAGTTATTGGCTTTTAGACTGTAATAGTATACCCACTATAATGTAGTATTATCTATGTAAACATAGATATTAATATAAATAGCATTGCTCATAGTAGCTCTATGTACTTGTGAAATATTTTTCTCAATATGTTTTTAGTTACATCCTTTAAAATTGAATTAAATGCTTAAAAACAGGCATGGGGACAAATGGACTTGTGTTCTGTCATTACCTCAATTTGGTACTTAATGGTGTGATTGTAATAAGTACTTGTGGTCTTTGTCCCCTTTATAAATTTCAGTAAATTAAAATATTATACAAAATATACATATAAGCAATGAAAGAGACACTTAGCTCAGCACTATACAATAATGAAAATAGCTTATATTTTTATTTCCACTGGTTGATGGAATATTAGAGTTACTTAAACTACGAATTTTTATGTCTACTATTTAATTGAGGCTGCCATTATGTTATCATCATACAAATCTTGGTATTGTAATGCATTATTTAATTTTAATTTTGTAACAAATATAAAATTGAATAGGTTACATTCTACAAATTCTTATTTGGAGTTTTGGACCATATTATATGTTGTCCATGTTACAGTCTGTCAATAATAATGAAACGACAATAACAATTAGCAACAACTAATTGCAATAAGATAATTTTATCAATGCTATATTATGTATAATAGTCCTCCTTATGTTTTTGTTACATATGAATGCTATTTTATTTCCGTCAAAATTAACGCATTCACCATAAATTATATCAATAGGTTCTTAGAACCTAAATGGTAATATAGTGACGGCCTAACTTAATTTTTAGTATCTAAATGTACCTAATTTTAAGGTAAAATAAAGAATAGATACCAGATCACAATATTCTTAAGAATTATGCAATAATATTTAACGTGAATTATTATATATTTCTTGTCTGTATATGTTGTAACACATGTAAAATTATACATATTTATGGAAAAGTAGATATAGTTTTTTGCCTATTGTTGTTGATGTCGTTGTTAAGAGGCATGTCATAGACTTTCTATGTAAATAGTTAATTTACACATTACATTCGAAGTAGATGAGGTACATTATCACGGTGTACAAAAGTTAATGTTTTGCTTAGAAAATGTTATGATATAGACCTTGGACGAACAAACTCTGGTCGCCCAAGGATTAGATCTGTATTTTGTCATTCTCAAGAGATGTACAAACATAATATTATTATACAA